GCTTCCCCCACATGAAATATTCAATAGTTTCATTCCCAGGGTTTGGGAATATCCCTTTCTTCTATTTTGACTGTATCTAGGGGCGGACCACAAATTATCAGTACATTGGAATATCATTTGTGTAATACTCATTTTCACGTGGGTTTTCTATTTCCAACGGCTCGATAAACCACAGGCTCGAATGAAAACTACAGGCCCCATAATCATCGGTTTCTCCTATATTAACCATTCTGCTTCCCCTCTGTTTCTCCATTAAAGAAACATAAACAAATTCCATCTATTTTCATTGGGAAAAAAATGTCTGCAATTGTTGGCGAGTGGATGGAGGAGGTAGCAGCAAAGCTTAAAGAGAAGGTTCAAGCAAGAAATCCCTTCATGTCGATAAGGGCTAAAAAGGAGCAGCGGTTTGCCAAGGAAGGTCGAGTTGGAGACAAGGAAGCTTCAAAAGATGATACTATGTCGGAAGCTACCGTCTGTATGCTTATAGAACGGTTTGTCCCTTGGGGATTGAACAGATAAAATGTAAACAAGTTCCATTTTTGCATAACTTTGTTTAAGCTTATATGTAAAAAGGCAAGGCTTCAACTCTGTGTTAGTGTAAATTACAGTTGTTCAAGCTTATATGGCAGCTTTGCTTTGAATGCTCCTTGAACCTTCTTGGGAATCTGGTAAATACACAAGAACTATTAAATGCTTGAACTGTTTGATGATTGGTATGTGATTTTGAACAAAAAAATAATGAAGGAATTGGTAGTTGCAGAAAAGGTTTTGTTCTGGGGACCTAACAATCTGATATATTTTTACATCTATTTTCAAGTGTTCTGTTTGATATGTAATCCTTTTAAAGAAACTAAAAAATGGTCATGAAGTTGAGCTTGCTTCTATATCTGTAGACGACATCTCGACGTTGATGAAGCTATTGTCGTTGTACTCCCACTTAACAATGTTTGTGGTGTATCTGAGAGCTTCATCAACGGAATCCGGCTCCAAGCCGGTGACCATTCGAAACGTACAGCTTACGATCGGTAACCAAATTGAATAGCCTCTTGAACTTTACGGCAATGTAGTGGAAGGCACGCTGTGCGTAGCATGCCTGTTGCTATCATTGCTGCTGTTGATGTTGGACAGTTGATTATGGCTGATAACAGGGTTGAAGTCATGGAACCATTCGCATCGTGTCAGGGGAGTCGAGCAGGTCGGCTTTGTTGAGTATAAGAAGGAAGTCCTATCATTCGAATTCCGGATGGGTGACTTTACTCTCAAACAATTGCTTGCTTGCTTGCCACCATTTTGTTTACAGGAACACGGTTACCCTCTAATGAAAACTCGTCGTACTCGGTCAATGAGACGCAAAACAGGACGATATCGACATCTTCGAACATCCCTCCCCACTTGCAGTTCTCCCCAAGGCTACTGGGATGCAATCTAATAAGTTGGAACCTGAAGATTTGAACAAGTCATATTAAGCAAGATAAATATATGTGATTTAGTTTCGAGTATACGACTTATGCATGTAGAATGGAGTATAACTTACCTTGCTGATGGATCATGTTGATAACCATCAACAAACCTCTCTCTATCTGATGTGCGAAATGAGAATTCCATGCAAGATAATCAGTTCGACGACCTCGGCATACAAGATATCCATATCTGAGGGCTCATAATCCGTCTTTGAAATCTCAACAGCCTGAGAAGAAAATGAAGTTTTAAACTATAAGAATTGCTAAGAAGACCAAGTGCTTCTGTTCAATTATCAAGGAAATCATGGGGCAGGCTTACCCGTTCTAAGAAATAAGTAGCAGCTCCGGGCAGTGTTTCGAGTTCGTGTCTTTGGTTATATGTGGCCTGAAAGCCTGCATCGTTCCACAGCTTCTGAAAAAATTGTGCATAATCACTAGTAGCATCTGGGAAGATGACCTCCAAATTACCAGACTCCATCACTTGGATAAGCCACTCCGAGAAGGCTTTCAGTTGGGGCGAAATGGAATATTCGGATTTATGATAGATCTGGCTTGCACTGCCTGTTGCCAAGGACGAGAGCGCAAAAAAGCTGAACTCTTGTCTGAAAATAAGGTACATGTACAGCATCCATGTTATTGCTAAGGACATGACATTAGGGAAAATAACTATGTCTATGCAGTATTCACATCCGTATGCAAATATACCTTCTTCCATATAGGCCCTTTTAATTATTCTTACCCCCTTCCTGGTATGATCCATCGGCACTTAGCCAAAAACTCGGTTTTCCTTCACAATTGACTCCGACGATCTGAAAAAAAATATGTTCAACAGATTGACACTGAACTTACATGTCTAAAAGAGCTCAATCATGTACACCAACAAATGACCTGCAGCATCCACAGCTCGTTTCTTGTAATCTCTCGATCGTTTACGATTACTTTCGCATTTCCATTGCTAGCGTGAGCCTTGATTTTTCCTCCAACATTTATCTGAGCAGTAATAATCTGGCATGGCCCGTGTCCTTCCTGATTATATTACAGAGCAGTAAGTTCAATTTTAATGGAAGAGGGACCAAACTTAGGTTACTTGTAAGGCAAGACAAACGAAAAGTTTAGTTGTTACCTTTCCCCACAATCCAGATACTTTGTCATACCAATAGAATCCTGGTTTTAGTTTCTTCGGCCGGTTTCGGCAGGTTAGCAGAACATGCAACTCATCTTGACTTAGAGGCTCTCCATTGACAACGATCAGCTCGGGCGGTAGCTGATTTGACATGCATGTCTTCTCGGAATTCATTGCCTGCTGAATTTCCAACTCATTGAGCATCCTCGAACATTTTCCGAGACACGATCGCTTCGATTCCTCAATCTTCTTACCTATGCAAGTAACACATTTTCTTCCCTCCGGCATCGACCCCATTGCTTTCGGTCTCGGAATGGTTCGAATTTGAGCTTAACTCCGGATCACGTAAAGTTACGACAGATGGCCTTTTGACATGGCAAGTAGTCTCCTTGTTATGATCATCCCTTTTTTGAGAAAATACCTCAGATGATGAAAGTGAAGGTGAGCACAACACTGACTCAGTTGTATCAGAATCAACTAACTCTAACTCCATTGATGGTCTCTTCAAACTATCATCAACTGAAGTTGATGATTCATTGGATAGTTTCGGAACTGAGTTTTTGGTCATTGGTTTAGCCTTCACAATTGGTTGGATAACAGGCAATGAAATATCAGTATCACTCAAGACATAGGAAGAGGAAACCGGAGCCGCCGTGGGGAGCCGGTCAACGTCCATCGGAACTGCTTTAGGGATGTCAAAACTGATCGGAGGACCATGGTACTCAATAGAAAATGAGTACTCAACGTTATTGTCATCATCACAATCATCTTTAACAGATGATTTCCCAACATCAGGAAGAATTTTTCTTAGAATCCCAGCAAATCAAAAGAATCAAACTTTGGCAAACGGGAACACCATTAAGTTAACGACTCGTTCAAACAATTGAACAGACTCCATTTCTTTGTTTCTTTTCAACACATAAACCATTTCTGAAAAAGACCCTTTGTTGCTTCTGATGTCAAAATGACGTAGAAGCAAGAAGGGGAAAAGGGAAGGAAAAGATGGGAGACGCACGAGGAGTGGGAAATTTCCAGGAAAATGGGGTTTCTGCAAACCAAACAATAAGAATTATGAAAATGGCGGAGTCTTGAGCTGGAAGTAAACCATGGATGGGGACTGGAGAGATGATTGGACTGTTAAAGAGATGATGAAAACTTCAAATGCCCTTCATATGTCATAATTACGTTATCCATTTATCATAAAATTATTATTGTATAAACTACGCATTTAATATCTTAACTATCGATTTTATTCTATTTTGACCATAAACTATTCTTTTTCAGTCATACATAATATTAATTTTTTATTTTATTTTAGTCATCTACCGTTAAAAATCAACAGAACTGCTGACATGACTTTTTCCAATGATGTTTTGATATTATCTTATAGTGATACATCAAACACTACTATTAATTTTTTAACGGATGGTGATTAAAATGAAATCAAAATTAAAAGTTAGATATATTTTTTTTTTAAAAATAATGAACTAAAAAAAATAACATTTGAAATATTAAACATGTACTTTACCTTACTTTCTATTAAATCATTGATATGGTAGTAAACTAGACGTTAGATACAATTTAAAAAAAATTAAGTAACTAAAACAAAATAAAAGTAACAGTTGAAATACTAAATATGTATTTTACCTTAATTTCTATTAAATTGCTGATATGGTAGTAAACTAGTCATTATTAATATTTAATTTAACCTTTAAATTATAAGTAAAACATCATAATAGTCATTTAATAATAAGTTTTATTTTGATTTGAAGTACCAAGAAGTGTGTTATATTTAATTAATTTTATTTGATTAAAAGAAAAAAGAAAAAATTAATTCTAAAGACTAAATTGTAAGAAAGGCAAAAGTGACAGTTTTCAATTAATAAAGATTTTATTGGCAAGAGAAGGGTCTTTGTGGATGCCATGGCTTCATATGTTCTCGAAGAGCTGATTTTTATATTTGAATGCAAAAGATAGAACTAGTCAACTGAGTAATATTTTAATGGGCAAATTACATTATTTCATCATCAATTATTCTTATAGTTTTATTTTGATCTATCAATTATTTTTTTAAATCATACTTAATGTTATGCTTTTGTTTCATTTTAGTCACCTATTATTAAAAAATAGAATAACTGATATGGTAATTTTTTTTCAACAATGATATGACACTATCCTATGATGACATATTAATATACGTTAAATTTTTAGTAGTGAGTGATCACAACCAAACTGACCTTCAACAATACAGACATCCTATACTAATGTTGTTAAATTAAGATAAGTTGTCAAACTCGTCAAATCGTTGATTTTCGATTCAATTATTCAAATATATATATATATATATATAATAAAAAATCATCAATTTTGAGTTCAACTAGACGATAATTTGATATTATCAGAACTGCTGACATGACTTTTTCCAATGATGATTTGGGTTCAACTAGACGATAATAACACTGGTGCAGTGGAACTAATAACAAAGAAAGCTTTACAATATGTGTTTTTTTTACCGGATATCAATTACCGACCTGTCTTTTCAAGTAAATACTATATAACAGAAACATGCTTCTGCAACCACTTGTAATCACACCTTAGTTTTCAACTTCTTCCTCTCTCAACTCATCTTAGCATGCCTTGGTCCCCTTGGCTTCACTGTAAAGTTGATCAACTTTCTCCTGCAGATAACGATTGGCATTTGAGGTAAATCATTTCCATGCAACTAGGGATGGACCTAGAGAGGTTGACCATCGTTTTTTAAGAAAATTTTAAATTCATATATAATTTAAGTATTTTCTTTATAATTTTAGGGTAAAGTACAGAGACGGTACCTAGATTATAGGACACTACTTTATTGAGTTCTTTAACTATTAGAAGTTACAAATTGAACACCCAACTATTCATACGTTACTAACTCGTCGTTTTCTATTGAAAAGTTGATGGTCGGTTAAGCTTGACATCAACCTGCTGGTCATGATATATTCCAAATTGGTTATTTATTATTGTCATATTTCAGTCAGTAAGTTAACGTTTAATTCGTCAACTTGTTTATAGAAAAAGATGAGTTTGGATCATATAAATAATTGGGTGATCATTTAATAACTTTTAATAATTGAGAATATTACCCTTTTTTATATTGATAATGTTAGGTATGGCTCATAAATATACCAGTAAAGAGGACAGGAGATGGAGCGGAGTGAGCGAAGCGAACATCAACTGTCCTTACAAAGAAAGTCTCGTTGTGGGGATATGAATTATGTGGGTTGAGGGTGCGGGGGCGCAGCCCCCGCGGTACGGTACAGGGTTACTTTTGTAATTATGTACCAGGGTTTTCTATTATAAATAGAGATGTAACATAGACCTAAAATATCATTGAATAAAAACTTCTAGCGCCGCCTAGGCACCGAGGACGTAAGCACATTGTCGAACCTCGTAAAATTCTCGTGTTCTTTTGTTTTCTTTACCCGTTTTCGTCAACAGATAATATATTTTCATCTCTATTTCTAACATAAAATTGTAGGTCCATTCGTACAAGTATTGATTTGCAGAGAGACAGAGACACAAAGGATACCTTGTAGTATTTGAGCAGTTGGGGCCTCTTAAGCTTGAAAGTTGGGGTCACCATATCCCTCTCCATGTCAAAGGGGTTCGGTTCCAAATGCACTGCTTTTAGCATTTCAAAGCCTCGAAGCTGTTGGAAGTACAGATTTTGCATCAGTTGATGAAAAAAAACTTGTATGGTTTCTATGACTTGCAGGACAAGGAAGAAGAAGATGTTGTGGTGTTTATCTGCTTACTTGATGTTTCTTGCCAGTGTTGTTTAGCTCGTTCAAAATGTACTTTTTCGCCTTCGGATTTTCGCATAATGACTTGAAATCAGTAGGTTCATTATGTTCCATTGCCCAGTCTTCTAATGCCTTCCTCTCAGGGACTACCACGGCCACCAGAAATGACTCGAAACTGTTCCCGTAAACCCAAATCTGTCCATCGGAAAGTTTTGACAAACTCGGTTTTAGGGCCTTAATGGAGTACTTAGTGTAACTGGTTGAATAGCTATGTGTACGACGACGTACCGATGCTATAAGAGGGCAACGCGAGTATGTGTTCTCAATGTTCTCGACTGCAACATATTCGCCTTGAGAAAGCTTGAATATGTTCTTTTTCCTGTCGACGATTTTCATCGTCCCATCGGGTTGCAGTTCACCGATGTCACCTGCAACGATCTCGACATATCGATATCAGAAAGAGTCACGGTTAATAAGATCAGGAAGTGCATATCTCTTTAATACCTGTATGAAACCAGCCATCAATAACAACTTCGTCAGTTAGGTCTTGCCTCTTGTAGTAACCTGAGAAAAGGGTGTTTCCCCTGAGGCATATTTCTCCTCGTGGCACATCAGAAAGTGCGTCGTATCCCATCTCCGGCACCGATTCAAGCCTCGCTTCGATGGTTGTTACTGGAACCCCAACAGTCCCAATCATAGACATTACATTTGCAAGGGAAGTATAACACCCACCACAGGTCTCAGTCAAACCTATCACATTGAAGAAAAATAAAACAGAAGAACTTCAATAAATATGAGCAGAAATTTTTTCATTAACACTTGTTTTAGTTGTTACCATATCCTTGTGATAAATTAGAGCAGCAAGAGACCCTCAGAAACTCCTCCACATGCCTCGGCAAAGGCGCTGCACCCGATAGCATTATATGAACTTTGCCTCCCAATGCTTGTCTTACCTACAAGAATAACATGAATTTTAGCAAGTAAACCAGGGGTCTTAATAGGAATCGAGAAAAAGACGGGAAAACAAACCTTCTCGAAGACAAGTTTGTCCATGAGAGGGGATGCTTTGTCGTGTGGGAATCCATTCTCCATGTTTCTCAATTTGCTGTTTTTAGATTTTACATCAGTTGGACTGTACACAATCAAGTAAATCCAACAACCAAATAAAAGGTTTACCAGTAAACTTACTAGTTATAGGCATACTGGAACAACTTATTCCGAAGTAGACCACCGGATGCAATTTTGTTAACAATACCTTCGAGAACAAGTTTCATGGATACTGCTTTAGAACTTACAAAAACTGGTATCAACATGAGGTTACATTCATAAAGATGATTTGTCGATATGTACCCGTGTATATGCGGTCATAAACTCTTGGAACCGCACAAAATGCTGTCGGTTTTAGTTCCTGGAGATCGTCCATTAAATAACGGACATCCTGCAAGTAAAGCATAATGATTTAATTTGATGCTTTAATACTAAAGAAGGTAAAAGTGTATGGAAAATTGTGATCCTACCCCTTGCCAGAATCCTATTGAGGAACCTCTTTTGATGAAATAGCTCTCCATCATCTGATCGTAGACGTGAGCCAGAGGGAGGAAGGAGAAATATGTATCCTCTTCTGAACACTGTAATGCAATTCATGTCATACATGTTAAACTTTACGACAAAGACTAACTCGAAACACTTCGATGTTTTACGATTAAAAGGTTTTTGTTTTCTTTCTCACAGGTTTGTCTGTGATTTCTATCAGTTGATCTATAGACAAAACTTCTGTCACGATTGCCCTGTTTGTGAGAATGACTCCCTTTGGTTCTCCTGTTGTTCCACTTGTATACATTATTGTGCATATATCAGTCTTCTGTTTCGGTGGAAGCTCACAGTCCAAAGAACCCTACGAAAACATGTTAACTTTAACCGGTGAATCACGGTTTCGATCAAAACATAATTTAAGGGCACAACAAAGTTGAATCATGTTACCAGCTCGGAGAATTCCTTCCATGAAAAGACAGATACACCGCGCTCTTCGGCTTCCTTCTTTTGTGTGGTGGAAACATTTGCAAAACTGACAATGGCTGAAGACAGAAGATGGACACTTCAATTGGTAAGCTTATACAGCAGAAAAGGTAATCTTAATGTCAAAGCACCTAATTAATGGGATCTGCACTTACTTTTTAAGTAAGAACAACATGCTGGAAGGCATGATAGGATCTGTCCAGGATCAAAAGCGTATCGTTAAACGAAGCTAAAATGCAATGCAACCGAAAAACAGATTGCATCATCTGCAATGACAACTTACAGAAGGGAGTTTGTTCTCTTGAACAAATGCTATTTTAACTTCAGCGTGGTTAACGATGAACTCCACCGCATTAGCACCTGCAACAGCGTAAAACCAGATAAATTATCACCTCGAAATCAATTGAAGAACAACCGATAATCATTAAACCGAAAAATCTATCGACAAAAGAGATTTCATACCAAGACTATCATATAGGGGTACATATGTTACAGCTTGACTGTTACAAGCCTGTGGAACAGGAGCCAACAAACAAATTATACAAGTCACTGAACAGTCAGAAAACAGATACTAGGGAGGGCATACCTCCATAGAAATGATCCACTCCGGACAATTGGATCCGTAGATACCGCATCGGTCTCCCTAGAAAAGTGACATTAGAATAATAAACAAATTTATAAATGAAAATCTGTGTTCAAACCGGTTTAACATTAGGACTACTTACAGGATTGACACCCTGGTTCCTCAAGGCAGAACCGATTTGGAGAGCTGCATCATAAGCCTCCTGATATGTGATCCATACATAAGGACCAGCTTGCTGCAAAAGCAAAGGAAACTGAACCATGTTATCCTATAAAAGGGAGAGAGTAAACACCTCAATTTTCAGTTTTGTCCAAGTGTCAACATGTTCTTATCCAGTACATGGAATGGAAGTTTGAAATATTTAATTTTGAGACAGACCAAGGAAATTGCACAAAGTAGTAAACTCTGAGCATTAAGTTACTATCTTAATGAAGCATTGGGCCTGTTCTCTAGCAATGATCATGTTATTACCTTAGAATCTGTAGTTTGTCGTCGTCCCAACATTCGATTGGTCGGATTCCTTTTAACAGAATCACTGCAGGAAAAAATTAATAATATTAGAAAGTTAAAAAGCGTCTACCCTATTAGCTAAGCTGGTTAGAGTTGCATGGGACAATTATTTTTCTCTTTTGTATTGTGTTGGCCTAATTGTATTTTGGTCCCTGTGTTATACTCAAGTTCATGATTTAGTTCTTATATTTTTATTTGGCATAATTCGATCCTCCACTTTTAGAATGTAAACATCTTTTCAACATAAAAAAATCATTATTAACATGAACGTAAACCTCCAAATTTAGTCCTTATACTATAGTTTGACATAATCTGATCCTCCACTTTTATGATGTAACATGCATCCTCTCAACACAAAAGGACCACTTATCAACGTAGTTGTGGTTTTTTTTAATAAAGAGGTAGGTCAATATTTTACTCACAATAGTTATGGTGTTAACTATTTGGGCTAATCAATGGTAATACAAAAATTGAGGGGTCAAAGTATGATTAAATTAAAATATTGGACTAAATCTCAATTTTGAGCCTGATAGAAAGATCAAAACCATAATTGTATCATATTTTGTTTCAGATAATTATTATATTTATTGACACTTAAATTCTTTTGTAGTATGAAAAATAACAATTTAATAAATAAAAACAGAGTAAAACAAAAATTAGCAAAATCAAAGGAACTAGTGCATGATTCCATGAGATGTGCAACTCAACCTTATATTATTCTATCTTCTTGATCCTACAGATCTTTGCAGAAATGAGCAAACCGCACACATATTCTCACCTAAAGAACTCCCATGGAGAATGCATTCCGTCCGGCATATCCAAGAGACCATCCTTAGCATAGATGCACCGGTAAACCGGCCCGGCAGACGGCTTTTCTCCGGTTCCCGGCCTCGATTCTTCGACCTTTACCGCGTACGAGACCGACATTGTATGCTCGTCACCTTAACAAATGCAAACAAGGTAGCAAGAACTCTGTGAACATGTATGATAAGGTGTGATGACAAATGATATTTAACCACAAAAAAAAGGAAAATGTTAATGACGACGGCGGTGGGAGAGTTAGTTGAGCTGCTGCTACCTCAATAAATTCGTATATGCAAAGTTTCCCCCCCTAATAATTCGATATAATGTTTATATTTTTCCCACTATTTTTTTTTAATTTTAAACTAAGGTGATTACAAATACAAAGTGGTATACATCCTTTTTTATACGATGATAATGTAAATCGAATCAAATTAAATTATTATATTTAAACAAAAATGTGAAATCTTTGCCCCCTTATTTATGATGGGGTTGAGAGGTTGGTGTGAATCACTGAATGTTTTTTTTTAATATATAAAATACTTATTTTCACCTCTCATTTAGTTTCCGTATGTAATAAATGAGTAGCTGAATTAGTTGAAGATTGTTTAACCTACCAAGACTTCTTAATTTGCATGTTCATGGCTGGTTTTCAGATATATTGAAAAAATATAAATTAGCTGACTCTTATTCTCATATGTAGTGGGGTAAGGGGGAGGTAAGATAGTAGGTTGCCCCCAATACCAGATTGAGAGCAACTTCCGTGGAGACCTCCAAATTATGAAATGCTCTCCATAGAACTCGACAATCGTTGATAAATATTTTACTGATAGTAATTTGGATCACTTTTCCTTTTAATATTATTATAATTTCATGTTTATTTTAAAATGATTTTTAAAAAATAATTGTTTTATGAAAAATAAAAGGAAAAGGGGAAACAGAAGGGAAAAAAACGTTATGTTTTAATTAAAATTTAGATCAGTTAATTGTGGGTTTTCTTTCTTATTGGTGAGTAAATGGAATATGGGTAGGGTAGAGGTCATAAATGTGGCTCACCAAATAAGGAGGCAGTTAATGCTTTGGACTCGAAACTTTATTCCACTGATTCCATGGTATAAAATTAGTTAATTTTATATAAAAATATATTTAATTAATAAATATTACGAAAAAATTTCAACATAAGTCACTTACGATTAGGAATGGGCATGAGTTGGGTCGTGTTAGATCTTCGGTCCACTCGACTCGATCCAAAAATTATTAAATATTCTATTCGATCCGTAAAATATACATCGTCCACCCGATCTGAATCTTATCCAATTTTTTTTATATAAAATCCAAACTTGACCGACCCAAAATAATATATTTATTAAAAAATATTATTTTTATTCAATACAAATAGAGATTTAATTGAAAGAAAAATAATATATAGAGGGATATTATGCAATTACCTCTAAATATATAAGGTAAAATTACCATTTTTTTAAGTTAGGTCAGTTCGGGTATTTTTCACCCTAAACTGGAACCTGATCCGACCCGAAAATAACCTTTAAAGACCCTAATCCGATTCGACCCAAATCTATTTTTTTTCAAAAAAAATCGATCCAATCGGGTGCCATGGCCATAGCTTCTTACAATCTCTTTTTATCTTTATTTGAAAAGTGACAATACTAATTTTGATATTAGTGGTTGATTGCTGTTTTTTTTTTATTAATCTAAAGTAATTATAAGGTAGTATCTTTTATAAATATTTTTAATATTTTGACAATGAAAGCTCAAGGCCCTTATAGTCTTTGGTGTTTGAGCCTAGGACTTTTAGAAATAATAAATATTTCTTTAACCACTGAGGTAACTTGGTTCGTACGTTTCTCTTTTATTTTTCTTAATTTTCTTATTTTATATTTTAATATTTTTATAACTATATATTTATAAAGCGTTTTTTCTTTATCTTTTATATACTTTTGGTAAATTATATTATCAAATACTTTATTGCTTTTTTTCTAAATTAAAATATTAAATTTAACTTAATGATTTAGAATATTTTCATATTTTTTATAAATAAATTATTGATCAATTATTTTTCTAAATTAAAGTTTTATATGTTTCACAAATGATTTAACAACTTTCAATGACATTAAATATTTGTGTCGCTATTGTTAAATCTAGAAAACCTGGACTTAGGGATGGGTATGAGACCTGATCTCGACGGGTTTCGACCCGACCCGACTTGATCAGATCGAATTTTTAAGTTATATATCGGGTCGGGGTCGAGTCGGGTGAAATTTTGTTTTGGTCGGGTTAGATCGGGTCAGATTTTGGGTGGAGTATTCTTTGTTTTTGGGTCGGATAGACCAAAAATCCGACCCAACCCAAATCATGCTCATCTCTACCAGGACTTGGTGGTCTGCTTCCTTTAACCAATGGGTTCGACCCAACCAAACTCTTTATCTCCGGGCCATCCACCTAAGTATTATTCACCCTCCACAAGAGAAAACTATAATTATTTTTTAATAATAATATAAAAAGTAATAAATTGAGAAAATACTGAAAATTTGATTTTCAAAAACGAGTGTTAATATGCCTGATTAATGATTATTCAATTACCATTTAAAAAGTTAATAATTGTATCTACTACATATACTTTTTAAATGGAATTTATACTCTAAATATTAAATTAAATTCTAATTTTTATTTAGATCATAAATATTTGATTTATTAAATTATATCAATAAAATTGTATTATTAAAAATAAATTAATTGTATTAAAAATATTAAATAATTCAATATAATAATTAAATTAATACTATTTATATAAGATATTGTCACATATCGACATCAAATAATATTTAATTAATAATTTCAATATTTTTCTAATAAATTATGAAAAATGTAGTTATTTTTATTTTAAATATATTTAAATAAGATTTTAGAGTAATTTAATATAATATTATTTAAATTTTCATTTAAACATTTTTATGATTATGTGTAAAAAATATTAAATTTATATTTTTGTTTGAATTATTTAACTGTGTAGGAATAAATTTCATTAGAAGTATCTAACATTGTTAGTTGGTATAAGTTTGGGGTGTTTATGAATGTCCAAAGCTTACTTGGTTCAATAGTAATAAATGCACCATAAACCTCACATTAAAGGAAGATGGACTAATTCTTTCGATTGATTCACACATCCAAACCTTGGAAAAGAAGAACAAAATAGTAGTAGATATGGATGACTTTTTGAATGAGATCCAGGTGCTATTTGGCCAACATGTCTTCTAGAGATATTATCGTTTGTCTCTTAGCTTTCCAACGGTACTTGAAACGTGTCAATACAATGTCGGGAACTCAAGACACATCCATTTTAGTGAAGACAATACATGCATAAATTCCTATACGGGATCAATTGGAGATTTTGTAAATATTACGAATTTTCAATTTCTTATTGATTATTTATAGTATAATTTAATATAGGATGATTTACTATATTTTAAAAGTATATGTATTATTTTATTAGGAATCAAAATCAAAATATGTTTAGTTTATTATTATTTATCCATAATCCTTATCATCACCATCATCATCCCACGGTAAATACATCACCATAGCCATATTCATGCCAAGCTTATACATGCTAATGAAAATTTTCAATTTGAGTTCTTTCATATCTTTATTTATCTTTTCATAATTCTTTTACATAGTTATCGTCGTTATTACATCATCTTCTTATTTGATTTCCAGCAACTTCCCCATTCAAGATACCATAGTTTGCAACAAAAACACTAATTTCATCTAATCTCGTTCTTTGATTAAGTATAGATCCCTAAGCTTGATTCTTCAACTTCGAGCAACGTTCATCACTCCGCTGCCATCTACTATCAATTAGTATCAGATTTAGATCGATTCTTAGAGAGAATCAATCAATCTTGCTTGTTCTTGCACACATAAACCGCCTAGAGTACCCAACAGAGCTAGTTTGCAACGATTGATCGATTTTAGGAATAAAATAATAATAAACTAAACATGTTTTGATTCTAATTCATAATAAAATAATAAATATAATCTTAAAAGATAGTGTATCGTCCTATATTAAATTATATTAGAAATAATCAATAAAAATATTGAAAATTTGTAATATTTACAAAATCCTATATTAATTATGTATAGAGATTTTTGCATGTGTTATCTTCACTAAAATGGACATATCTTGATTTTTCAACATTAGATTGATTTGTTTCAAGTACCGTTGGAATGATAAAAGACAAACGGTCATATATCCAGAAGATATGTCGACTAAATAACACCTGGATTTGTCATAACATTTGTTGAGTTAATCGATCGATGGAATTGGCCAAGGGGGGTGAATTGGCAATAAAAAAATTTGGTGGAAGCTTTTGCAGAAAATTGAAAGTAATTGCACAGCGATTTATAGTGGTTCGACTTTATCAACCAAAGTCTACGTCCACTACCTTAGCTATCCACACTAAGGTTTTTCCAACAAATTCACTAATTTGTTCTTTCTTTTGAGGCCAAAGAGATAACCTTACAACTCCCTCAAGAATATACCCCAATTCTTAAGAACACTCTTTTCTCAAAGAGAATATTACAAATTTGCAAGCTCACAAGAAAAACCTCACAAGGAAAATATGTTTGCACAATTCTAGAACAAAGAAAGAACACTCAAGAATAAATACAATTGAGCACAATAAGTGTTCTTGAAAGCAAAATGAATATTGAATGAAAAATAGGCTTGAAATGCTCAAACTTTAGGTTTGATGTTTTCTCTTTGATTCTCTCTTGATTCTAGTTGCTTGTTGTTTCTTATTTTGATCAATGGCTTCTAAGCTTGTTTAAATACACCTTCAAATGATTCTGAAAGTTGGGGATGATTAGTGGAGTCAATAGATCCGTTTAAGTGTGAAAACAATTAATAAAATCAGTTGGGAGCGTCAGTGCATCGATGCATACCCTAGGTGCATCGGTGTAAAATTCAAATATTTTGATCGTTGGACTCTCAGTGCATTGGTGCACTAAGAGTGCATCGATGCATAAAATGCATTCGATGTTTTGAAAAAGCCTGAGTGCATCGATGCATGGTCTTGTGCATCGATGCATGGTATGTGCATCGATGCATAAAATGCATTCAATGTTCAATTAATTCCATGGTGCATCGA